GTCTTCTCTTTTCCAGACTGAACAATCCCAGCTCCCTCAGCCTGTCCTCGCAGCAGAGCTGCTCCAGCCCCTGGGTCATCCTTGTGGCCTCCTCTGAACACGCTCCAACAGATCCATGTCCCTCTTACGGTGGGGACACCAGAACTGGACGCAGGATTCGAGGTGGGGTCTCACAAGAGCAGAGTAAAGGGGGAGAATCACTTCTCTTGATCTGCTGGCTACACTTCACTTGATCCATCCCAGGATGTGGTTGGCCTTCTGGGCTGCAGGAGCGCCCTGCCGGCTCATGTTGAGCTTCTCATCTATCAACACCCCCAAATCCTTCTCTTCAGGGCTGCTCTCACCCCACTCTGTGCCCAGTTTGTGTTTGTGCCTGGGATTAGCCTGGCCCAGGTGCAGGACCTTGCATTTTGACTTGTTGAAGCTCCTGCAGTTTGCACTGGCCCATTTCTCCAGCCTGTCAAGGTCCCTCTGGATGGCATCTCTTCCCTCAAGTGAGTCCACGGCACCACACAATTTAGTGTCACCAGCAAACTTACTGAGGGTGCACTCAATGCCGTCACCCATGTCCTTCTTAAGGGTACCCAAAATCTCCTAAGATTAACCTCTTCCCTCTCTTCTTTCTCTCCCATAATCGAAGATGTTTTTCTTGCAGAGAAACACCACAGACTCAGTCGATATAACACACAGGAAGCTCTGACTCTTCCTACCTTGTGACTCCAGTGGAGGTACAGCTGCTGGCCTTCTGCAAGCAAACACATCGCCAGGACCTGGGAAATCAAGAAGAGATTGTTTGCATCCTGGTAGAAGATGATAAAGTGTCTTTAGTGTGGTATTTCTGGGACTATTTTTCGCTCTGAAAAGTCACTTTAGACTAGGTCTTCCTGCACAATGTCAGGGCTGTTAATAGGACAAGCCTATGGAGAGAGGTGCTTATTGTTACAGTGAAAATGCTTCTGAAATGGTCAAGCACATATTAAGGCAGCTCTGCAGGATCAAAGCCCTTTCACAGGTACCAGGTACTTTGTGATACACACTTTCAAGGACTTTTCTTCGTGAGTGCAACCGCTGAAAGAGGAATGATGGCCAGGGTCAACAGCTACGGTATGAACCGATACAGCACTAACTGTTTTCTGTGCATTTGTTGTGATGTCCTATCAACCATGGGAGAGAGGTCAGGGAATAAAAGAAGCCTCCAAAGTGCTGCAGAAATAGAGAGTAGGCACTTTGGAGACAACACTTCCATAGAAACGGCAGCAAACACAAGAGACAGGCACATCTCGGAACAGGGAAAACTGCCTTGGAGATCAAAAGACTCTAGTTTTTTGGTGGCTGGCATGTTCCTTCCCTCTGATAGCAGGCTGGAGCCCTTGGGGAGGGTCCCTATGAGGTGCAAACCCCAGCCAGGGCAGGGGACAACCCCAGAACCCTTGAACACCAAGAAACAAAGGATGAGGAAAGCCAGTCCATGCCTCTGATGGGGATTCTCTTCAGGTTGTCCCAGACATAAGCAACCCATAAACCTGTGTCCTGGTCCCAAGGAAGAGACAAGTGGCACCTCGGGTGAGGAGCAGACAGGACAGGTGACCAAAAGGACCATCCCATCCCACATACGGAGTATTCAGTATAAAGCTGAGGGATCACTGAGGTTAAACTCTCTTCTTCACAGGCCAGTGTCCAAGAAGGACTCTATCCATTCTTCTGCCTCATTAGTACTATTATTGTTTTATTAAAGCTGGTTTAGTTTTCTTTCCCAATCCATAAGTCTCTCTGCCTCATTCCCTTTCCCTTCTGGGGAGGGAGAGGGGTTAGGGAGCATCTGTCAGTGTTTGGTGGCCAGCCCAGCCCCAACAACGTGAGGATGAATTTTACCAAAAGTATCTTGCTGCTCTGAAAACGTGTAGGTCTATGCTCAGGAATCTGAATGCCTGGGGTAAGCTGCTCAACCACCATAAGGGACCATCTGGGGACCAGTTTCACCAGATAACAGGGTTTAGGAAAAAGTATCTCTTAGAAGACATCAATGCTCTACTGAGAAGGATCACTATGAAGCAGATCCTCCCAGACTGTCTCAGAGAGGGATTGTATGAAAAGAGGAGACGTAAATTT